GATAGCGCTTGCATAAAGCAAGTAGTGCATACACTTGTAGCTGTTATGTATCTTTGTAAGACATTGTAAGCCCCCAAAGTCCACTGTATAGTTTGAACATTGCCCTGGACCACAAAACTAGTCATAAGGGTTAATTTTATGAAATTGAGATTTATGCATCATCTGAAAGCTGAAATCTGAAATAATCTTTCCATTGATGTATGGTTTGTTAGGATATGACAATATTTGGCCGAGACACAACTATTTTAAAATCTGGAATCTGAGGGTGCAAAATAAATCAAAATATTGAGAAAATCGCCTTTAAAGTTGTCCAAATGAAGTTCTTAGCGATGCATATTACCAATCAAAAAATAAGTTTTGATGTATTTACGGTAGGAAACTTACAAAATATCTTCATGGAACATGATCTTTACTTAATATCCTAATGATTTTTGGCATAAAAGAAAAATGTATAATTTTGACCCATTGACCCATAATATTGTTGGCTATTGCTACAAATATACCCCAGCGACTTAAGGCTGCTTTTGTGCTCCAGGGTCACATATATTGAAATATCTTGATTTTTGTAAAATTTTGCAACAAGATGTAATTTTTTGTGTGTGTGTGAAAAATAATGGTTTTGGACATATAAGGTAATACAAATATAAAAAAACCTTAAAGTAACAAAAGAGCATGTAAAGCAAATATCTTCAAAAGAAGTCCCATGTGAAACATGCCTCCGATCCGCACAATGTTCTCACCTTTTTTCCCCCCTTACCTGTTTGCATCTCTGACGATTAGATTATCAACAGAAACTGATCATTCTGATTATGTAACCGTTCTGATTTGTGAAGATTATTGGTTGTGTTGACAGAAAGCATGTTTTTGTTCCTCCTGCAGGCGTGTTACGGGATCTTGAAGGTGCCGCAGGGTAACTGGCTGTGCCGAATCTGTGCCCTCGGAGTGCAGCCCAAATGTCTGCTTTGTCCCAGGAGAGGAGGAGCTCTGAAACCCACTCGCAGTGGAACCAAGTGGGTCCACGTCAGCTGTGCCTTATGGATCCCTGAGGTATTGGAAGTCAGTCTGGGAGTGTTCAATTTTAGGAGCGCACCAAAATATCAGCTTTCGAAAAATGTTCTGTTTCTGACTAAAGAGGCAATGGCTGAAAATCCTGCATTCAAGTATGAACGGAAACTACAACTTTGTGGCTCACTTTTTAAAAACGTTTTACATGAAATGGCAGCGTGCACATTAAATTAATCAGTTTTAATCATATGTGACCCTGGACCACAAAACCAAAGGGTCAATTTTTCGAAATTGAGATTTATACATCATCTGAAAGCTGATCCATTGATCCAATATTGTCTTAAATAGCCTGCATAACACTTCGTCTTTTATAACATGGGATTTAGACAAAATATGTGACCATGGACCACAAAATAATAAGGGTTAATTTGATGAAATTGAGATTTATGCATAATCTGAAAGCTGAATAAATAAGCTTTCCATTGATGTATGGTTTGCTAGGATAGGACAATATTTGGCTGAGATACAACTATTTGAAAATCTGGAATGTGAGGGTGCAAAAAAATCGAAATATTGAGAAAATCATCTTTAAAGTTGTCCAAATGAAGTTCTTAGCAATGCATATTACTAATCAAAAATTAAGTTTTGATATATTTACAGTAGAAAATTTACAAAATATTTTCATGGAACATGATCTTTACTTAATATCCTAATGATTTTTGGCATAAAAGAAAAATCTATAATTTTGACCCATACAATGTATTGTTGGCTATTGCTACAATTATACCCCAGCGACTTAAGACCGGTTTTGTGCTCCAGGGTCACATATATAAACGCCGGCTTGCATTTGAGACACATGCACCTGGTCTAATGTGTGATGAGATGCACATTTAAAAAGAACAGCATGCATGTTTGTGCTGTAGACTGTGGACAGCATGATTACATACTCGTTTGCATTTGCTCTCCCTAATAATTTTCCTAAAACATTTTTAATTACACTAGCAGTCAAAAGTTTTTGAACAGTAAGGTTTTTAATGTTTTTGAAAGACGTCTTTTCTGCTCACCAAGCCTGCATTTATTTGATCCAAAGTACAGTAAAAATATTTTTTACTATTTAAAATAACTTTTCTATTTGAGTGTATTTTAAAATGTAATTTATTCCTGTGATTTCAAAGCTGGATTTTTAGCATCATTACTCCAGTCATATGATCCTTCAGAAATCATTCTAATAGTCTGATTTGCTGCTCAAAAACATTTATTATTATTATTATGTTGAAAACAGCCGAGTAGAATTTTTCAGGTTTCTTCGATGAATAGAAAGTTCAGTAGAACAGCATTTTTTGAAATGGAAATCTTTTGTAACATTATGCATGTCTTTATCATCACTTTTGATCAATTTAAAGCATCCTTGCTAAATAAAAGTATTAATTTCTATACTTTCTTTCCCCCCCCAAAAAAAAAATTATGCTGACTCCAAGCTTTTGAATGGTATAGTGTGTAATGTTACAGAAATCTCAATCTCAACTCTTACTTTTTTTGCCCGTCGTCAATTATTCCTTACTTAAAGTAGCATTTATAAGCGCATCGCTGCTGTTCCATAAGCGCCACCTGAGGTGATTTACTACTAATCACGGAACCGGCTTTACTGACGAGATGCACATGACAATCGCATGCGATTAATTGCACTGCCCTAGTCTAGACATGAGATTACCCATGGAAATGTAATTGATTTATTAATTGGTTCAGTTGATTTATTGATCTAGGCTTTCCCAAAAGTATCGTAAGCTTAAGTAGATCATTGAGAATATTGGTGCCAATTCGGGATGTAACGATGCACGTCGAGCCGGTTGAAATCGATAAAAACGGTTGAGTCGGTTGAGATATTAAACGAATTGCGACACAATTAGGGGTGAGTCCTCTGAGGAGAACTGACTGACTTCAGAAAAGTTTAGATGGTATTTTATTTTCATCTTGCCTCTGTAAAATGCATATTGAAGTATTTATAAGTGCAGCGCTGCTTTGTTTACAGCATCGCTGCTGTTCCATAAGCGCCACCTGCTGGCAGAGAGTGAATTTGCGTCTCATTCAGCTCATCTGCTGTTTCGGTTTCATTCAGATATGTTTCATGTAGTATAGTTTCACAAATCTTAAGTCAGACTAATCTGTTCTGCTTCAGATTTTGAAATTATACAATCTAATTTCAATCAGAAACGGCTCTTGTTGCATGTATGCAGCATCTTTGTTGTGATTGTGATTAAAATTAAGTGGTTGACTAATTTTAAATGGAAAGAGCACAGGCAAAGCCTTAGTTTGTTTATATGAAATGATTTCTTTCTGTAACGGGGCTGA